GTGGGTGGTTGGCGGATGCTGTGGTGTGGTTTGCTTCTTCTTTCCTATCCAACATCTATCGTCTTTATCTCCCCTCCTTCTTTTTTGTGTTTGTTACTCTCTTGTAACATCTTTAATCTTCCGCACTTCTATGACCGTATTGTGTTGCAAGTGCCGTAAAACTCTTACTAACACTAAAAGAAATTAAAGGTCAGGTTCCTTGGGAAAAGGAAAGGTAAAAAAAAAAAAGAAGAAAAGAAATAAAAAGAAAAGAAAAGAAAAATATTAAAATGAAAACCCTCGTGCAACCCCTATTAACCTTACGATTTTGATAGAGCAAGTAGAACATTTAATTTGGTTTCTGACCTGATGGTCTCAGTAACTCAAAACAACCAAAAATTAATGTCAGATAGAACTTTTAAATTGTAAGGTAGTGAGCTTTTGTCGGCGGCCTATGTCCATGGCAGGACCTCACACAACGATGGTGGTGATGGTGGTTAGGGAATGTGACCTCTCTAAAATGTCAAGGCAATTTTTACTGACAATAACTATTTAGCTGTTGGTCACTCGGTTGTGTCCTTGAGCCAGACATGTAAAATTGGGTAGCTGGTGCTGCGCGCGCGCGGGTCGGGGGGGGGGGGGGGGGGTGCGCTCTGGGTGTGGTTTGCTCTTTCTTTCCTATCAAACATCGATTGTCCTTATCTCTCCACCTTTTTTGGGTTTGTTACTCTCTCTTTGACACTTCTAATCTACGGTACTTATTTGGCATATTTGAGTTACAATTTCTGTAAAACTCTTACAGAAAATACACGTATAAAGTAAAAAGAAGACATCAAGCTGATGAAAACAGCTACTAAATTAGCTATGTACAAGCGTAAGTATTTATCATCATTATTATTATTGTTATTATTGTTGTTGTTATAATAATAATAATAATAATTATTATTATTATTTATATTATTATTATTATTATTATTATTGTATTTTTTGCCCCCAGGTGACACCCTGCTGGACAGTCGGTCTGAGATCAAGGAGAAATACTACTACGCTCTCTATGACGTGACGGTCAGAGGCAGCTGCTCCTGCTATGGTCACGCTTCCAGATGTCTGCCCGTTCCCGGGTACAACCGCAGTCAGGAGACCTCTAGAGCAATGGTAGGTCTGATGAGCTGTCTGTGTGTGTGTTTGTGTGTGTGTGTCTGTCTGTCTGTCTGTCTGTCTGTCTGTCTATCTGTCTGTCTGTCTGTCTTTCTGTCTGTGTCTGTTTGTGTGTCTGTCTGTCTGTCTGTCCATCTGTCCCTGTCTGTCTGTCTGCGTGCATGTGTGTGTGTGGGTTGTTTTGTTTTTGTAAGTATTGTGTGTGTGTGTGTCTCCTCCTTTTGTTGCAGGTGGTTAAAGGGCGCCGCTTTTTTAAAGCTCTTTTTCTTTACTTTTCCTTTTTTTTTCCGGTGTGTCTGTCTTTCTTCCAAGCACTAAATGACCAAAATTGTGCGATGTGCTTCTCTTTACTCAAACAAACAAACAAACTTTCTTTTCTTTGTATGTTACTATCTTGTAACGCGCTAATATTTGGCACTTATATGACCAATTTATATTGCAAGTGCCATGTGGGTAGTAGATGGGTGCTATGGTGTCGTTTGCTCCTTCTTTCCTATCAAACATCGATTGTCCTTATCTCCCCTCCACCTTTTTTTTCGTATGTTGCTATTTTATAACACTGCTAATATTTCACTCTTATATGACCCATTTCTATTGCAAGTGCCATAAAGCTCTTACTAAAACTAAAACTACGGAGTCATGTTTTGTCCCCTAGGTGCACGGCCAGTGTGAGTGTACCCACAACACCAAGGGCAGGAACTGTGAGATGTGCGAGGACTTCTACCACGATCATCCATGGAGACCAGCCCGGCCGAACCAGCCCAACGTCTGTAAAAGTAAGTTTGACTGTTTGTAAGTTTGACTGTGTGAACAGATTTTTGTTGATAGACACTAGATTTTGCGGTGAAAAGACAGTGGGGTGGGAAGGAAAAGGCACCGGGGTGGGAAGAATTTTTGTATTTATTCAAACATTTTTTCCCCAATCCTGAAAAATAGAAACATCTCAATGACTACCAAAATAAAAGTTCTGAAATGCCATGTATGGCCAACTCTTCTATATGGCTGTGAAAGCTGGACAATCACTAAAAACAGTTAAAATAAAATAG